GAGACCGAGCTAACTTTCAGCAAGCTTCGACCGTGCTAATCAAAGCGAGGTTCACCATGAGAAGCCATCATACTTCGCCTCCGAATGCTATGGTCGAGCTAACTATCTTTACTCCGACTGGTGAATATAATCACATTTGGACCGAGCTAACACTTGCCGAACCCTTTTCACACTTGGACCAAGCTACCACTTGGACCGCGGTCGACTTGCTAAGCTCTTTTCACCACAGCCCAAAGAACGGCCCATTTTCCATGCCTTGGTCTAGCTCGGCCCCAATGCACATAAAAACTCCCTCTCAATGTCATATCATTTGTTAGTGCACTAATATGTACATTAATTAATACATATAGTATTATTCTTTAATTTATTTTGAATAATATTATTTTTCATATTTTTTACATGTTTTTTAAATAAAACCAAAAAAGATTAAAAAATAATTTTGAACCATCTTTTCAAAACAACCTTAAAGAGCTACCAAAAAAAAGGGGAGGGGGGGAAGACAACAAATTAGGCTTTAAAGTTTTCAAAATAAAAACCAAAGATATGTAGAACATATAAGGTTTGTTTAGGATGTGGGTTGATTTTTTAGATTTTTGATTATTTTAGTTTGAGATTAAAGAGTTTCGTTTGTGATAATTTTTTCAATTTTTTTGAATTTTGTGAGAGAAAAAATAAAATGATTATGATTTAGATGTGACATTTTGTATTATTAATTTTTTAATTTATTATGTCTTTTTTAACTAAAATAACATTTCTAACCCCAAAATAAACCATGCCAAACTAGTGCATAGATATCATATATAGAGCTCGTTTGGGCAGAAAAAGTTCGCGACTTTTTGGCTATTTTAATCATAAAAAAATAAAATAAGTTTTTTAGTCAAATAAGACAAAATATCACATCCAACTCATAATCATTACATTTTTTTTCTCACAAAAGTCAAAAAGGCTAAAAAATTTATCCCAAACAAAATTTTTTAGACCAAAACTAAAAAAATTAAAAAATTAAAAATCAACCCACATCCAAACCATAAGCTCTTTGGATTTGTTTTCTTGAAGCTTATTGCGTGACAAAAGATTGACTTGTTGTTTTATAAGTCAAAAACTAAAATACAAATTAGAATATAGGAGCAACATATTAATTTTTAGTTTATTAATTTATTGACTTATTTGAATTACATCACTTTTTTATTTTTTGTATAATTTTTTGCAATAAAAATGAATGAGACCACTAAAAAGAGGAGTATTAATAGCTCCAAAGTGATGTAAGTCCCACATGATGGGATGTTTTGCTCTTATATATATATATATATATATATTTTTTTTAGTTGGATGAATCATTTAAGTCAAAAAAACTAGTTTGTAAGCCACTTTCCAAAACAACTCCTATCTACTTTTTGGATTATTTATGCAAAAACTCTTAAATTAAGGAGGGGTCAAAATGTTAATAATTTAAAAAATTCATTTATATGCTTTTCAGTAATTTAAGGAATCTAATTATACGTCGTTATAGTTTAAAGGGTTGTTTGGAATGATCTAAATAAATGTACTTTTTATCTTTTTACGAAAAGATGTGTAAAAAAATAAAGAGGTGATGTGATGAAAAAAAGATAAAAAAATAAATTATTTTGAGAATGTCAAACTTAGCCCAAATGTTGAAATTAGAATAGTAGAGTAATTGCTTGCAGAAGTCGTACAAATCTATGCCATGGAACAAATTTAACAAAAAGAAAGAATCATAAATAAATAGTAACTGTAATGTTGATCATAGTAGCGATAACATTCAATTCACGATCATAAGCCAAACCACCGTACCAAGGTCTCATTTTTGTCAATTATACATTTTAATTAAAAAGTTAAAAAGTTATTTATAAGTTGTCATATTATTCTCTCTATTTTTTTTACATCTTTTCGTAAAAAGTCAAAAAATTATTAAAATAATATATTCTCAAACGAGACTTAAGTTTCTGTTTGGCAATTAGCTTTTTTAGTTGATTTTATAGCTATTGTTTTGAAAAGCAAATAAAAAGCTAGCTTTTAGTTTTTTACCCATTTTGAGTTATATCACCTCTCACATGTTTTACTTACAAAAGACAATAAACTAAAAAAATCAAAAAATTAATTTTTTACCAACTTTTTAAAGTATCACAGTTTGAGACTAAAAGTTTGTTTTTTTTTTACTTTTTTAACTTTTGAAAATGAAAAAATAAAATGATTATAATTTAGATATAACATTTTACCATATTAATTTATTTAGTCTATTTTATATTTTATGCTTTTTTAACCAAAAAAATTCTAACCAAAACAACCCCACGTAACATTGATTGAAAGAACATGGATGCAAAAAAATAAAAAATAAAGAAAATTGGAAAGAAACTTGAGAATTGCTTGACAATTATGGGTTTCTGTGCTTCCGATTAAACCACTACCGAAATTGAAACTTATCGCACTATTTATATGAAGATGAATCAAAGCAGCCATAAGTAGTGGAGCTTGAGGTTGAGGTTGAGTTTGAGTTTGAGTTTGAGGTTGAGTTTGAGTTTGAATTTAATTGGGATGGATACTTGTGTTAATGTCGATCAATTCATATTCATAGTATTGTTTATTACAAATACACTCTGTAATTTTTTTTTAAATGCAAATTATTATTTTTTAGTTTAAGAAATTATATCTCCCCTTTTAAAATTTTTGTTTTTATAACAAATATCTCTTTTTATTAATAAATTATTAAATTAATTAATAATTTTTAATAATGTCAAAAATATATTTCAATTAATAATTCAAGTAATTTATTATTATATATGAGAGTAGTTAAGAATTTTTTTTAATTAATTATTTTAAATAAAAAAATTTAATAAGAGAATATTTATAATTTTTTAAACTATAAAGAACAATTTGTATTTTAAACAAATTTATATTTATAATTTATCTAAATAATAATAAGAAGAATTTGAATTGTGTAGGGAGATAGTGGTAATTGAATTGTTAGGACCGAACAGGTTCTTATGCCCAAAACAAGGCGTGATTTGCTAAATTGTAAAATTTTTGTTGGGCCACATTAGAGGGTCTTAGCTCAAAGTGAAATTCAGGGCTCGTTTGATAACTCTAGTTTTTTAGTTTAAAAATTAAATTATCAATAAATTATATTAAAAAAAAGTCTAAAAAATTCATTTCTCTGCTTTTTTTAATTTTTTTTTTTTGTAAAATTTTAAAAAATCATCAAAAAAATACTAATTTATTTTACTTTATATTTTAATCAAAAAATTTTAAAAATTACTAAAATAACTTATTACACCTAAATAAATAATGAAATAAGGGGCTCATGTAGAAAGAAATTTTGCTGTAGGGCTAAGTTAAAAAAGGGGCTCAGCTTCATTAAAAAAAAAAAAAAAAAAAGAAGAAACTTTAAAATTGACCTTATATCACTAAATATGTAATAAATTAAAATTTAACACTAATTATACTTTATGTGAGAACTTTTTATGGGTTTTAGGCTTTTTTTTTAGTAGCACATAAATAAATTATTTATTGACTTATTAACTTATTTTAATCACATCACATCTCTATTTTTATACATATTTTTTTATAATAAACAAAAAAAAATCAACTTATAAGGCTTGTTTTGATAAGTAGGAAAAAATTTAACTTATTATTATTTTTTTTTTGTTTTTTTCCAACAAATAATATATATATAAAATAAAAAAAAATAATGGATTTAAATAAACTAATAAATTCACTTTTTTTTTTTTCTTCCTACTTTTCAAAGTAACCGTAAGTCATGCCAACACAACCCTCAAATATTTACAAGTGATACCCAGCACAATCCTCAAATATTTTTCTTACTAATATAGGGGTGTTTTAGAAAAATGGTAAAAAATAATTTTTTGACTTCGAACTAAGTTTTTGATTTTTTTAGACAAGTAATTTGAGAAATTAGTAAAAAGTTACTTTTAGTTTTTTTTATTAATATTTGTTTATAATGTCAAATCACAATAAAATAATTAAACTATCTCTATTTAATTTTAAATATTTACAATTTTGTTTATAATGTCAAATCACAATAAAATAATTAAACTATCTCTATTTAATTTTAAATATTTACAATTTTACTTATGTAGTATATTTTGATGGAAAATGTTTGGTAGCTCAAATTTTTGTGGCTCAAATGGCTCAAATCTATCAAAACAACATCGTTTTGACAAATTTTGAGTGTAAAACGACGTCGTTTTGACAGATTTGAGCCACAAAATTTTGAGCTACCAAACATTTTCCTATCAATTAATTACTATTTTCCTCACACCCTACTCCAAGAAATTAAGGTTTTAGAAACAAAAATTTAAAGACAAAATCATTTTTTAGAGACAAAATATTTTTGCTGCCAAAAGTATTATTATTTTATTTTTAGTAACAAATTTGAACATTTAGTGATGAATTACTAACCTTTTGAGATTAAACGTTTTGTCTACAAAAATAAGGGTAAATTACAAACACACTCCATGAGATTTACTTAAATTACAAATTACCCTCTGTGCTTCTAGAAATTACATTATGCCCTCTATGGTTTCTAATTTCATAACAAATAGGTCATTTTGTTAATAAATCATCAAGTTAATTAATAATTTTTAATAATGTTAAATTTTATTTTAATTAATAATTCAGATATTATGTTATCAAAAAATATTATTATATTAAGAATAATGCTAGGCACATCATAAAAAGTTTCATGAAAATTATTCATCTTTGAATTACACACAAAAAAATAACACACATTAAGATGATATTTCTTTCATATTGCCTAAAATTACTCTTGTATTAGAGTTTGAGTTTGGTAATGTGAATTATATATAATAAAATATTTATATATTAAGTGACTATCAATATGTCATTTTCTATTCTCTCACAAAAAAGTCAAAAAAGTCAAAAAGTCTTTCCCAAACCAAACTTTTTAGCCCAGGCTAAAATAGTCAAAAAATTAAAAAAGGAACCCACCTCTCAAACCAACCCTTCGTACAAGTTTCCGTGGAGGAGAATAAAAAAGAAAATGGCACATGGGAATGAAAATTGAGATTGGATGGCGATGGAGATTGAGAGTTGAGAATGTGAGTCGATGGTCGTCAATGTCATCCTTCAAAAAATGTCAGGAACGGCAACAACATCAATCTTAATTTCAAGTCCAACAGAGTATCTGGTGAGAAGAAGACGCAGCAGAGACAGAGGAGGAGGAGGAGGGCTCTTCCTCTTTCCTAATCATCAAGCCATTCTCAGTTTGAGAAGCTCATCAGCCATCTCTCAGACTCAGACCTTCCTCCTCACATACCCCCCATATGCCCCCCACAAAACCCACCACAACCACAACACCACTTCAACTTCAATCTTTACACCACTCTTCAAACCCCCATTTCTCATGAAATGGCAGGATTGCAAGTACACCATCTTCCTTTCTCTCTTTCTTTCTTTCTTTGATTTCTCTTTGCCCCTGCCTTTTTTCTTTTTTCTTGATCAACTGTCTTATTATAATTTCAATCCCTGAGATGAGATGATTACTTTACTTTACTTAATTAGTTGGACTCAATTGACATTACTAATAATGTCTAGCTGACCCAAATCAGTTTGGGAGTTCCAACATTTGCTTTGCTTACTTGGGTTGATTATTAATCGGTTCCACAAAAGATTGGTCTCTCTTAATTTGTTTTGTTTTGTTTTTTTTAATCTTCTATGTGCTATTAGCTTTTTGTTGCATCTGGTTTCCCCCAAGATTTTGGGTATGTCATTAAATTGAAGTATATGGAGAAATGCAGGGTGAAGATGGATGTTGAAGTGCCTACATCAGTGGCCTATGATTGTTATTCTGACCGTCAAGCCATTCCCTGCTGGATGCCCTTCATTTCATCTGTAGAGGTAGCTACTCATTAAACTACTCTTTCATTACATATATTATTTATTCTTGTCCTTGTGAAGGGAATAGCTTCTTTAATCACCCTTGAATGCAAAGTTAAAATAAACTACTAATGGTAATATGGATCTCTATCACAAACCTATTTTCTTTTTCTCAAATTGATATATGACAGGAAGGTACATCTCTCCTATCTCCTGCTAGTTTGATTTGTTTGATTCTTCTAATGCTGTCTTGTTTTTTCCTCCTTCAATTGAATGTGAAATTTCCACTCCATACTAATCAGTTTCCAGATGATATTCATAGCAAATATTGTACCTTAGGTCCTGAATTATTGTGAGCTTTCTTGTATTTACTGTACACTCAAAGAGTACTACTATAAGGGGCTTTTTACAGAGGTAGAGGGCTGAGGCCTTTAGGCCAAAGCCCAAAGCCGGAGTATAAGGCCCAATGGAGATTCACATAGGCCCTTTGCGGGGTTCCGGGGTAGCCCAAAGATTTTATGGTATATATTTTAATTTCAGGTGGGGTTTCTGAGAAAGTGTTACAGAATACAAGAGATGCATTGAGAGGTTTGAGCGTCTATTTTAATCCTTATCAAGTATTGTAGATTTATTCACCCTCTGTGCTTTTTAATGGTATAGGGTTTGATGATGAAAGCCTTCCAAAACTTAATTATGATATCAGAATACAAGTCTTCGCTCTTAGGCCATTGAAAATCAACTTAGCTGGTTTCAGCTATAGATTTATAGTTATACATCTATGATAACTTGAGAACTGATTCTGTTTCACAGATTTTAGAAGCTAAGCCTGACCTATCGCGATGGTCATTGAAGTATAAAGCATTTGGCCGTGATATTGAATTCTCTTGGCTTGCTCGAAATATGCAGGTAAGGAGGATGATGACTACAAACCTACCTTTTTTCCTTCATATCTTCGTATCATACTTCTTTTCTTATCTTAAAAAGTTCATTGATCCATTGTTGTGAGGTTCCCATTGAAGTTTTTCTTTGTTGAAATTATTTGCAGCCCATCCCAAATCAGAAAATCCAGTGGAGATCTCTCGAAGGTCTCCCCAACAGGTAAATGAATTCTTTATCAGCCATGCCTAATATTCTATCACAATAAACTGAACATGTTCAATCGTTCTAAAATCAAGTAGCAAAACCTAAGATGCACAAAGTTTGGCATAAAGCCAAAAAACCTTCACACAATTCTCCAAAATTAGACTCCAACAGAATAGAAGAATTACATGAATATTTATAGGTTGCTGGTTCTCCTAGTTCTACTGGCAGTCTAGTTCTATGGCTCTAATGTTAAGAAGCTAAGAAAATTTGAGTAATTAGAATATTCTAGACTTTTAATAATTACTACTATATGATTTGGCCCATAACACAATGGGCAACCCCTACAATCCATGTCCAGTAATTCTTAAAATTACTAAAGTATCCCTAAATGCTAAAACCGATTAAAAACTACTAAATTTGTTCAATAACCTTCTAACCTGAAATATAAGCTAAAACAGTACACAAAATAACCCTAAAGGTAATTACACAAAACCCTAATCATGCTCCATTTAAAATTTTAGATTTGCCCCTCTTTTTCTCCATGTTATGCATCATAATGTTGGCATTGGTGCTTTCCTCTCTAGTAAGTGTTTGTGCTTTTCCAGAGGGGAAAAAAATGAAGGGAATATTGGGCTTTGTTATTTCTGAATTGTCCCTGAAGTTCTCACAAAATAAATGGTTTGTCTGTGGCGTGATGTCCGGTGGCTTTATGCTGCAATTCTACCTTTTCCCTCAAAAACTAGATGTTGGGCAATCATTTGAACTAAGATCAGGTATTTCAACCAGAGGAGCAGTAGGTTTTGTAACTTCATTAGGAATATTTATGCACCCTTGTTTGTAAAATCTGAAGAAATAAGGCAAAACAGAGGAGAGCTTTGTTTTGTCCAGTGCAGCAGCGATGGGTCATGGCGATGCGGCTGTAGCAACATTGGCATTGTTGCTGGTTTGTAAGTGGAGTTTTTGTGTACAGGGATAGTGGGTAAGGGAGAAATTGAAAAACACATATGGGGGAGAGAGTGAAAGTGAAGTATACTGCATTGACCTCTCTTATTCTAGAGAGGGAGAGATGGGATAGAGTGAGAAAGTAAGAGACACAGTAATGGGTCAGATTTGATTTATTGTCTACCTATAATAAAATTGGGTCAACCCAAATATGGTTAAAATCCAAATAAGGTAAAATAATCAATATTTATTATAGTTTATATGCTTGAAACACATCCTTCTCTGTCTAAATTGTGTGACGGATAGAAATGCACATTAATAACTTCAAGGACTAAATTATCCAAATATGAACTCAAACTATGAGGGTGGAAAATGTAATTTATCCTAAAATGTATAAAAGTATTGAATGTTACATGTTTTACTTTTCTATAATTAATCCTACGTATGTACAAATGTGTATGTTCTGACTTTAAAAAATATACATAAAAATAAAAATAAAAACACAAATTCTTTACTTGTGCATGTGTATGTCTGTGTGCGCCCTAATGCTTGATATAAGAATCGTGATAAACATCTTTCTCGTGTGGCAGAGGAGCTGTACGGTTTTTTCCAAAAGGTCCTTCATCATGCGTAGTAGAAGTAAGGCTGCTTTAAACAATATCCCATTTGACATTTTATCATTGTTTATTCATTACTTTAGTGACTCTCCCTGTGATGCCTATAATTTTCATGCCCACTGTTAAGTCCATATTTGGATCACAACAGACCATTTACATGGTTTACTTCTTTAGTACTTGAACTCGATCAAGTTTAAAGTTTTTCAGAATATGGCCATTGTTCTCATCTATGATTGTAGCAATGAGGGGGAAAGGGAAAGTGGATACAATATTCCTTTTCTCTTCTTTTCTATTTGGGTGGCTCAAATTTAACTAATAAAATAATTTTGTTTCTCCATTTCAGCTAACTGTTTCATATGAAGTCCCTCAACTCTTGGTTCCATTGGCATCAGTAAGCACTCCAACTCATTGCAAGTGGCATGTTGAACAACTTAGCCTAAACAGAAATGAAAAGGGCAACGGATATGACGGAATGGCAGAGACTATCATGTTTATTTTTCTCATTTTTCAGCTGTTTTATTTTTCATTTTCCATTTAAGATACTTGTTATATGCTTGAGCGCTAAACTCTTATATAAACTTTTCCAGGTACTAAATCCTTTTACTGAGAGCTTACTTTTACGAGGTTTAGAAAGATTTGCAAAGTTTGCAAAAAGCTACCCCACTAACTCAAAAAGGTGATGTCCAAATTAAGGGACTTAGGTGATGACTTTACCAAAATTATTAGCATGGACCATTCTTTCAAAGGAGGAAGTAAGTCTGGATACTAAAGATTGTAATGCATCTGTATTTCATAAAGAGGAATTAAGATATGTCCATTTATTTATCCATTTAATTTATAGAGACATTTCTGTCTCTTTAGACAAGATGTTTTTGTTTGTGTTTATAATGGTCCTGTATTTTGTGAAACCATGAATAACTTTCCCCTGTTTACTGTCCCTTAAGTGGTTTCTGGCTCTCTCAGTGTATTGAAAAGCTTGACCTGTCTTACTTTGAGGTAATGAGACAGCCAAGTAGGTCAATTATAACATGGATAGGTTGATTGTTGAGTTGTCAACAGCTTAAGCTTTTGTTCATCAAAGTAAATGTTTCTCAATTTTTTGTTTTTTGTTTTTGGTTTTTTTTTTTGTTTTTGATGATTTATCGTCATCAGAAAACAGTTTAGATACAATGGTTGAATGGACAGAATCATTCCTGTATATATCTATGAAATCGGAGCAAATTTCACAGCAATATTATTAGACTGATATTTTATTCACAAGGCCATAATCCTAGTTTATGCACCTAGCCCCCAGGACAGTAAGCCCCCCAAAATAAGGGCAGATCTCTATTTTCTAATCTTCTTTGTTTCAATGCAATTACTTGGTTAAAATATAGTTACCCATTGTAGCACCCTTGTCCAGTTCAATCAAAACCAACTGAGGAGTAAAGGTACTTGGTAAGACTAATAAATGGTTAGTCATGTATTGGTGTGTTGCTGGTCTATGATGTCCAATCTTGAAAATGAAATTGCCCCCATTAAAAGGCAAACCATGAGAACCATCCGTCGTCAACATGGATGGCAGGAGCAAAAATTGAGGAAAGATTTATAGGATTATGAAAATTTAATTCACACAGCATGATGGCTCCTCAAGTATTTATCAGAGTGTCTGGTAAGCAAACATTCGCCACTGTTATCATGACATGCAATGAAGTTCTTGTGGCAAAAATAACTTTGATTGTGCACAATAGTACTTACTATAATTACACTCATTTCTACGCTCATAGAGACTAATATGTTCCTATATTTATTTGATTGCACGAGCACCATATGCATGCTTTATTCAGCTAATCAGACCATATTCAAACAATGGCAACTTCACCATATCCATTTTTAGTTCACTTATTCACAAGCTAAAAATGGATTAAAAACCGAGTGATGTACAAAACAAAATTTTTATGTGCAATTATGTGGATTGCAACAAATCACAGCCCATCTTAAAACTACAAAAAATTAAAATAATAAAAAATAATAATTCACCTCTCATAGAGAGCCAAATTGGCAGGAAGAGGGGAAGATATATTTTATTTAATTTAAAAATGTCATATGTACACAAGCCAATAGATGAGACATACACGTGGACGGAGGAGGGCAGGGCCACATGACTATTAGCTGAACAAACAATGGCAACTTACACGATTAAAAATCTCTAAAAATCAATTCTAATCCGCTAACATAGGTCACCTGCACCATTGTGTTATGTACATGAACCTAGAAGCCCAGCCAAGCAGAAAGCTGAGAAGAAGATAGATTCCCTACAAAACTGCGAGCTGCTTTTTCTAGATTATTATTCCCCTATCCAGCTGAAGCAGCCACAAACAGCTTACATACCCTCCCAAGATAAGGAAGCCTTTTTATTATCCGAAAAATTGCATGCACATTCAATGATTTCCATTGCCATCCAGTAAGCTCCTCAAGCTGCTCAGGGACTCTGCAGATAGGCTGTAACACCTCACTCTCCGTGGTCGTGGTGGCGACAACAGTTCCATGTGTTCAAGGGAAGAGAAACAAACAATAATAACAGTAAGATTGTCAAACGTGTTGAGACGCAAGGCCTCCATGACGAGGTCTTTAGCACACTGCTCTGGATCATCATGTCGCTGCAACCCACGGCGCACAAGGCTAACCGCGTACTGGCTTGACATCACATCCCAAATTCCATCACACCCAATGATGAGGAACTCATCATTCTCTGTGAGAACCACCTGCCGAAATTCTGGCTCTGCAATGAGAGGTGAGTGCGAGCCTCGAGGAAATTTCATGTCCCAATCCCCTAAAGCTCGGGTTACTTGTAAAACGCCATTGAGATAACCATCATCAATATAGCCACCCAATTCTTCAACACGTTTCCGTTCCGATGCGTAATTTGGTCTGTGGTCTTCAGACATATCAATTGCCTCACCTTTCCTGCAGAGAACAGCTCGACAATCTCCTGCATTGGCCACCATTAGACGCCTGAAATAGGAGAACATTATCAACCATTGTCTAAAGATCCAAATAATGCTTAAAGATAATGAAATATTATAAACATACAGTAAAGAAAAGAAACTATTTCTGTTTCAGTTGATACATAGCTGGCCTACAAACTTGTACTACATACATCATGCATTGCAGACCATGTAGCCATCTAAGCATATCCCTTAATAATATAGTAATCAAGTTACCAACAAATAATTTCAGACATTCACCAAATCAAACACGGTAATGCAAGGGAGGTGCACTAAGAGCCAAATAACATACAACTTACAGAACAAACAACCCTAGACAAAATACAATAGACTGGAATAAAGTCACAGATGGATGGCGTATACTAGAGCTGTGTCTGTTTTGGAACCAGTCCCAAACAATAAAGATAAGGCAATTGTTGGTCAATTTTTAGCATATAAGAGACCAACAATACATTGATAAATATGGGAAAACATGCAATTACAGACAAGGCAAAAAAAGAAAAAAAAGAAAAAAAAAAACAAGTTATGGAACCTGAATTCACCTTCCTAATATTAGAGCTGTTAGTGCTGTTGTCCCCGAAGAACTGCTCACACTACAGTCATCAGCCAAAGCCAGGTCTGCCAAAAGAAATGCTTTCCGGAGAGAGCTCTCAACCTCTACTAGGAAGGCATCATCAACTTCAGATGTCTGAGGAAATTTGACATCTTCAAATAAGAATCTGAGTACATTTTTTCTAACATAAGCTGCAGCTTCAGGCCCTCCATGACCATCAAATACCTGCACAGAGTTCAATCTCAATCAGTAAACAGTATTTAACCTCAATCAGTGAATACCAAAATGATTGGATATATGACTCTAGAAATTTTAAGCCTGACAATTTACTCACCGCATAGAAGGCATTTGGCTTAGGAAACCTGAAAAGTGAACCCAAGTGCGCAGATAAATCATCTATCCTTATATGCTGGTCTTCCATATACCTTCGTGGTCCAATGTCTGCAAAGCTACCAGAACGAATGCTAGGGACAAATTTCAGAATAGCAGACTCAAGCGTGCTTTCAGGAGATATTATGTCCTGAAAAAAATAAGGAGCTTATTTCTCCATGTAAAGCTCAGGATTACAATGTTGCATATATTGGAATTGTCAGGTAAGACAACTCAAAATAAGAATAAGAATTGGCACATGTAATTTCTCACGTAACTTGGATAGCATAGACCAGTTCCTTAATCACGTGGCATGAGAAAAATTTTGTACAACGATACTTATTGTGATGCTAATCATACTCTAGAAATAATTGTATCACAGTGCTGAAGAATGGAGATAGGATATAAACACTCCACAGACTGAAAATTTCAAGCTCATGGAAGCAATAAAGGTTTGTTTTAGCCTGGAGAATGGTGATAACCGAAAGACCTCATAAAATTTTCAAGCTCGTGGAAGTACGGTTGAGCATAAAAATCAGAAAAAACACAAACTGATCCGATCCAGACCAAACCGTTCGGTTTGGTTTGGTTTGGTTTGGTTTTCTCACTACATGGTTCGGGCTTGATTCTTAAAATAGGCAACCCGAACTTCATGAATCGGTCCATGGTTTTATAGTTACAAATTCGTTTTAGAACAAAACTGAACCATTTAGATATATATGATATACATATATATATAATTTGTCAACTACCATAAACACTCAAATATCTTATTAGTATTATATATATACACACATAAATTACATCCCTCTACTATTGCAAATGTGTTCTTGTATAGTAGTAGAACTAATGTTAAATATTCATCTAAACAATTCTTAGGTTATGAACAATATTTTGTGATCGTGTTGTGAATAATATTTTGGGATCATATTGTGAATGATAACAAGGTTTCTAAAAACCGTGATTCCAAACCAAACCGAACAGTGTTTTAGTGGTTCGGTCTGGTTCAGTTCCAAGATTTTCATGGTTTGGTTTGGTTCCAAAATTCAAGGGACTGTAAGTAATGGTTTGGTCCTGGTTTACCCCTAAACCGAACCAATCCAAACCATGCTCACCCCTACATGGAAACATTAAAGGTTTGTTTTAGCCTGGAGAATGGAGATAACCAAAAGATCTACCTGGTTATATTTCATACTTTATTATTGTAAATATGCATAATATTGATTCAAAATGTTAAAGAATATTGGGCCAAACACTAGAAACTATAATTTGAAACCAACACAAATAATTTTACTGATCATGTCCTTATTTTGTATTTTTTTTTTTCTTTTTCAATCCTAATGATCATAATAATTTTACTGATTCTATCACCTAAATAACGAAATCAGGGTCATCTATTTTAATAGTGGGTTAAAATAAAATAGTTTAAGTCAAAGCTCAATTTTTTTATTCTTCATCTAGAGTCCTTGCAAATTGATTTCTAGTTCAGGAAATTCACGGTAATTAAGGCTCTGGCGATCTTTAGCATTCCTTAATTCAAGATCTGAACACGTATTTCGATGCTTGAGAAAAGGCAACGCAAATCACATGAATCCTTCAAAAATTCACAACTAAAAAAAAAAAAAAACACAGAAAAAGCATCACAAACCCTAATCGGATTCAATAATAGTAAAGAAAGAACAATCGAACTCACCAATTGAGATAGGTCGGAGGAGATCGTATCGACGGCACAAGTCGGAGAAGAAAGCGGCGATGAGACGGCAACCTCCTGGAGATTACTACATCTGAATTGAACGTCCAAGACTGGGACGATGCTCTGTTGAACACCATTGAACAACAACGACCTCTGCTGCTTCAGGTACCATCTTCAGATTATTATGCCAAAACATACAATTACTCGCACAAGCACAAGAACACCTCCGGTTAGATTTTCTCGAGAAAATATCTGAGGAATCGAAGATTTGAAGAGAGAAAATTAGGGGGGTCTTGCTGAGAAAATTATCAGGGGTAGGGGCGGTAGTTAAAAGATTTTCGTGTCTGTCGCAGAGTGATTCTAAAAAATTGAGATGGAAAGGGTTGAAGTAGTTTTTATATATGGGAAGACTGGAAACCGGCGGCCACTTGTAAAACCGGGTTGAGATGACTTACAGGTGTGCGTTTTCGGGGATGGGGGACAGTTCGTTCATCAAAACACGCAATTTGAAGCTTAGCTTGGTCGACACGTGACTATTTCTAGGTCACCGCGTGATTGACCTTTCACACACATCGTGGATGGCTGGCTACTTCGCCTCCATTTGATTATTAATTTTTTTTTTAAATGTTTTAAACGTTTAATTCTGAGTTTTAAAGTCTATTTTAAAAAGTTGACGGTGAGTCTAAGCCCTCGTTTGGTAAATTTGTTGGAGTTAAAAAAATAAAATAAGTTATATAAGTTCATAAAATAAAATATAATTTTTTAATTATAATTATTATATTTTTGCTCTCATAAAATTTAAAAAAGTCTCAAAATAAAAATTAAACGAAGTTAAAAAATTTAAAAGTTGACTATTTTAACCAATGCCAAATGACACATAACTTGACTAAGTTATCAAGAAACCTTGTTTGAGAATATACTATTTTAGTAATATTTTAATTTTTTGACTAAAATATGAAGCAAAAAAATTAGTATATTTTGAGTGACTTTTTGACTTTTTACAAAAAAATGTGTAAAAAGTAAAGAAAATTTTTTTTTTTGACTTATTAATATAGATTATAAGCTTTTTGACTTTTTTCGTAACATTTTAATTTTTTGACTAAAATGTTAACTTGCCAAATGAGGCCTGAATCTAAGATTTATCGATTTATCAATTTATCAAGAGTGAATCCAAGATTTATCAATACAGTGGGTTAATATTAAGATGAAATTATATCATACATTTTAAGGATAATCACCGAAAAAAAAAAGGAAGAGAGAATTTAATAATATAATTTATATTAATATTTAAATTTATTAATTATAAACAATCTAACTAAGTTGCGCTCGACGAGTCTTTAAAAATTCGAATTTATCGATTACAGAATCTAAAGCAATTTTCAAAAACACATGAAAAAACGATATGTTTTATCCTTTGAAGGAGAATACTCTAGCCAAGAAAATTGTTTTAAACCAAATATGTTGAAATCGGCGATTCTGCTTTCCAAATGAACACCTAGGATACTCAAGTTTAGGTTGATAAGGCTCCAAGTTCACATAAGCTCGTCTAACCTCATCCTGTTGATTAACTGGATATTCACAAATCTGCAAGTGTAAATCAGGATCCCGTTCAATAACAGTTGAATCAAATTCGCTTGGTTTATTTGCTTGAGGCATGGAAAGCGGTTGCACATCAGAAAATGAGGTTTCAACTCATTGGATGTTGTACTATTAGACTTTTGTTTTGATTGATAGAATGAGAAAAGGGTTTTGCCTTTTTTGAGTGTGGAGGTTCCATTATTTATAACTTAAAAAAATTTAGCCCTATTTAATATTAAACCAAAGTATATTCGCAATAATTTTAAATATTAGGATTTTTATATATATCCTCAATAATTTTTATTTAAGCTTTCATTATTTTTATATATGTCCAAAAAAATTCTTTCAAAGTTCAAAAACTAAGAGTAATATAGAATATTGAACAAGGTAGCATCATAAAAAAACCTAAGAGCAATATAATATTTGTTGCATAAAGACAAAATTTCAAAACCATTGTTAATCAAATTCATTCTCAACCAACGAAATAAAATAATTGGTTAATTGCACTTACCAAAAATGTTAGGAAAGTGGAGCTCCTGCAAGTTGCTGGAGACGACGGAGAGGGCCGCTGCCTATCTATTGGAAGATGTGAGGATTGTTTTGGAAGATTTGTCCTTTAAACAAATACAAACCTATTGGATTGCCTATCTATTTTTTGGGGTAAGTATTGAGATGCTATTAGGTTGCCTATTTTAAAAAAAAATAAAAAAATTATTGACCCTTATTTGAGGCGGGACGGGGCTAGGAGAGGTTAGGAGGCTGGGTTAGGCTGAAAAAAAATTTCTACATATTTTAAAAATTTTGTGCTGGGTTGTTGTCACCTATGCCCAACCTTAGGTCCGCCCTTACAACCTACTGTGATGTGATGTTTTGATCTTAATTTTTTTTTTTTTTTGTTCTCCTTACCATGTCATTAGTGCTCCATTATAATATCAAAATTAGTACTCTGAATCATTGCTGTAATTTTTTTTTTAAAAGAAAAATAAAATTTTAAACAAAATTATGATTAGCTTATCTAAGAAAGATGATAAATTTATGTTTTTGTGATTTGAGTTGTTGGGCCGATGGGGTCTACCACGTGTCTTATTTCAATAATTCGAATCCTTCAATATGTAGAATTAGTCGAATACTTTATTAATATAAAAAAATCACGTTGATTGGATATTGATAACTCCTTAATCGGATTATATTTTTGTTAATAATCTATTTTGAAAATTATATTTACCGTTGATAAAAATCTAATCCAATCAAGTAACTATCGATATCCAATCAACGTGTTTTTTTTATGGGGGTAAAGTACTCGACAAGTTATACACATTGACGATTTGGATCATCCAAACGGGACCCGTGGTGAGCCCTCACAAGCGTTACGGATTGGAAAGAAGCCATGCCCTTTATAGAATATATATTTGATTCGATAATGTTATTTATATAATTCCTTTAAAAAAAAATTTAAAAAAAAATATAGATCTTTAATTTCAAAATAATATCTACACACAAGTTTAAAATAAATGGTTTGAATTATTGAAAACTTAACAAACCTAACCATATTAAGTTGTCGTTTGGAAAAAAAATTGGTTTTTTGGAATTGAAACTTTTTTAGCTTGGGACTAAAAAGTTTGATTAGTTTGATTTTTTTTACTTTTATGAGAGAAAAAGTGTAATAATTATAATTTAGATATAACATTTTATCTTATTAATTTTTTAACTTAATTTATCTTTTATTGACTAATTTAGTCCTAAGTCAACCCAACCCAACCCAACCCAACCCACATAGCCAAATGAAAGTTTAAACTACACGTTAAAGTAACACATTTTAAGATGAGACAACTCATAAAATTCTTCTGACCATTGCCATAGGCCCGATGGCCTGCTTAACTCAATCCGATACTTTCAAGATGCATTTGATTTGTTGAATTAAGGGGGACTATCCACTACGTTAAAATTGGGTTTTAGCGGTCGTTTTTTACCGTCGTTAAATGATGTAAAACCGCTGTTAAAGTCTTTAACGACGGTAATTTAAGACCGTCGTTTATACTTGTGTCGGAAAAGGTACAACCGTCGTAAAAGGGTAAATTACCGTTGTTAAAAGTTGATCAAAAACGGCAGTAATATAGGACCAAAAACGACGGTTCTTTACCGCCTTAAATTGATTCAGATTTTTAAAAAAGTAATTCTCTTCTTGCACCCCCCAAGTCTCAAACCCCTGACGTCTAATCCATGCACGCCAACCACTCCACCACAACCATTTTGAAATATATTCCTTAAATAAATATTTAAGCATTACTTTTGCTTTATTGTAGATGATCATGTTGAACCTCTAGCCACGCGTGGTCACCACACGTCGGAGTTTCGCCAAAGCTCTACCGACAAAGACCGCCGTCATTAACGGCGGTAATGAGAGGGCTTTAGCGGCGGTTTCGTTACCGCCGTTAAAAGAAGGTTTTAGTGGCAGTTTTTTTAATGGCGATTTCATTACTGCCGTTAAAGATACTTTAGCGGTGATTTTTTTAACGACGGTAACGAAACCGCCGTTAAAAAAACATTAACTATTAGGTTGCCTATTTTAAAAAAAAATAAAAAAATTATTGACCCTTATTTGAGGCGGGACGGGGCTAGGAGAGGTTAGGAGGCTGGGTTAGGCTGAAAAAAAATTTCTACATATTTTAAAAATTTTGTGCTGGGTTGTTGTCACCTATGCCCAACCTTAGGTCCGCCCTTACAACCTACTGTGATGTGATGTTTTGATCTTAATTTTTTTTTTTTTTGTTCTCCTTACCATGTCATTAGTGCTCCATTATAATATCAAAATTAGTACTCTGAATCATTGCTGTAATTTTTTTTTTAAAAGAAAAATAAAATTTTAAACAAAATTATGATTAGCTTATCTAAGAAAGATGATAAATTTATGTTTTTGTGATTTGAGTTGTTGGGCCGATGGGGTCTACCATGTGTCTTATTTCAATAATTCGAATCCTTCAATATGTAGAATTAGTCGAATACTTTATTAATATAAAAAAATCACGTTGATTGGATATTGATAACTCCTTGATCGGATTATATTTTTGTTAATAATCTATTTTGAAAATTATATTTACCGTTGATAAAAATCTAATCCAATCAAGTAACTATCGATATCCAATCAACGTGTTTTTTTTATGGGGGTAAAGTACTCGACAAGTTATACACATTGACGATTTGGATCATCCAAACGGGACCCGTGGTGAGCCCTCACAAGCGTTACGGATTGGAAAGAAGCCATGCCCTTTATAGAATATATATTTGATTCGATAATGTTATTTATATAATTCCTTTAAAAAAAAAATTTTAAAAAAATATAGATCTTTAATTTCAAAATAATATCTACACACAAGTTTAAAATAAATGGTTTGAATTATTGAAAACTTAACAAACCTAACCATATTAAGTTGTCGTTTGGAAAAAAAATTGGTTTTTTGGAATTGAAATTTTTTAGCTTGGGACTAAAAAGTTTGTTTAGTTTGATTTTTTTTACTTTTATGAGAGAAAAAGTGTAATAATTATAATTTAGATA